CTAGTGCTCAAAGGAACAAATAACTTGGAGCTGACTGGAACTGCACATCCTTCCTTCAGGAGAGCACCACTTAGTTACTGTATAACCAGGAATGGGGTGCTGCTCTTACAGTCTCCTCACACCAGAATTTCCTCCCGTCATTGTGGCGTCAGTCAAAGGATAATGTAAGGGGTTCTGGTCATGCGTATGAATTTTGTTCGGGGCCTTTTGTGACAGGCTTTAGAGGTGATCTGATAGAGTCTAGTGGAGCTGTGCTGTGAAAGAGGGGTGCCGGCGGGGGGGGGGGATGAATTCTGTAGTCAAGAAAGCGAACACTTAGGCAGAAAAACTCTCTTCAAGGAGACCAGTTTCTTGACAAAGAGCTAGAAGGGATCCTAGAGGTCACCTACTCCAACCCCTTTGCTCAGTGCGGGAATTAGTCAACTGCAGCACCCCACTCTGCTTAAAGGAGCACATGCCTTTAAAAATGTTTCAAAATGATTGAAAAAAGCATTTACAGGAGAAATTCTTGTGGGGCTGTGCCTTTAAAAAGGGGGCAGCGCCCCCGAAAGCCCACTGTAGCGACAGGCCTGGCTGACCCTATCTAGCTTCCCAGCTCTGACAAAATTGGGCTCGCCTGGGCCATCCAGGCTTGGATTTGGAACATTATTCTCCATATAGGTTGATTTCCCTGCTGAAATAGGACGTTAAAAAAAATTCACTCCCCCGTTGGCTGTCAGAAGTGACTCATGCATACACAACAGTATTAATCCAGATCTATCAGTCTGGTTTTATCCCCGAAAGACAAATCTCTGGCAACATCTAACATACTTGTAAATGTTATTCATCTCTAAAACAAAACACAGCTGCCTGAATAGCCCAGACGAGCCCCAGTTTGTTAGAGCTGGGAAGCTAAGCAGGGTCGGCCCTGTTTCGTACACGGATGGGAGACCACCACGGAAGTCCAGAGTCACTATGGAGAGGCAGGCAATGGCAAACCAGCCCCGAACGTCCCTTGCCTTGAAAACCTCATGAGGGATCACCATAAGTCAACTGTATGTTGACAGCTCTTAATTATTATTTACAGCAAAACACATTCCTCTGGCTGCCCTCTTTAGATGCAGAGAAGGCATTTCATCAGCTGGAGGAGACTTTTGGTGTCGTGGTTAAGTGCGCGGACTCTAATCTGGGAGAACCGGGTTTGATTCCCCACTCCTCCACTTGCACCTGCTGGATGACCTTGGGCAAGCCGTAGCTCCGATAAGAGCTGTTCTTGGAAAAAGGCAGTTTCTGTCAGGGCTCTCTCAACCCCACCTGCCTCACGGGGTGTCTGTTGTGGGGAGGGGAAGGGGAAGGAGTTTGTAAGCCGCTCTGAGACTCCTTTGGGTAGTGAAGGGCGGGGTATACATCCAATCTCTTCTCTTCTTCTTCTTCCAAAGCTCCAACTTTGTTCTGCTGCTTCAGACGGACCTGGCGGGGTCGCCGTATCAGTCTGCAGCAGCAGAACAGAGTTTGAGTCCGGCGGCACCTTGGAGGCCGACAGAGCTTGACGATGGGTGTAAGCACACGTGTGCATGCACACTTCCTCAAATTGTATCTGACGAAGTGTGCACGCGCGTGAAAGGTTATACCCAGAATTAAATTGAGGAATTTCACATTACCCTTTTAAACCCGTTTTGAAGCTGTTTTTGATCCGTCATGGAGTAAACTGGTATAGGGCTGCCATTTCACACATGGCTTTACCCTTCCGGTAAAGAGCTGGATCTGAAGTGGTTTGCCATTTCAGACTGCATCGCTTTCCCCCCACCGTTTTTCGCCCGTGCGGGCGATCTCCAGCTTTTTTTTTTTTTTGAATATTCGCTTTAGAGCGCTATAGCACTATAACAAAACACTCCAGGCATTCCAGTGGGGTTGATATAATGCTGTTGCGTTATAGCGCTATAACACTATAACACTATAAAGTGAACGTTAAAAAAAAAAAGCCGGAGATCGCCCGTGCGATCCAATTGCTTAATTTTGTGAAATTGTAATTGTAATGTACTGTTTGTATATATGTTGTATTTTGTATTATACCCTGTCTCTTTGTTTATGACTTATGGGTCTATGAACAATAAAATGAATGGACTTGGGTCAGTCACAAGGTATCTCAGAGCCATTCTCTCAAGAGCAGTCCTCGAGAGAGCTCTCTCAGCCCCATCTACCTCACAGGGGAGGGGAAGGGAAGAAGATTGTAAGCCATTCTGAGAAGGGCAGGGTGTAAATCCAATCCCTTCTTCTCCTCCCAATGTCGTCATTAATATTCATTGCCGTGGTAGTAACTTTTTTCTTTCTCTTGAAAACGTATCGTGTGAACACTGTACTATCTATACCTCTCTTCTGTCTCCCCAAAGAAAGCAGAGTGTTATGTTTTAATATGCAGGCAGCCGTCGTGAGAGTCTGACCCACAAATCGAGCAGTCACCAAGACTTGCAAAGAAAAGGCTTCCTATGTATTATAATCTTGGCGACTGCTTGATTTGTGGGTCAGACTCTCCCGACTGTTGTCTTTATACTTATTTCCTGATTGGGTCATGTTTGTCCATATTTATCTTCTGTTTTAATGAGCTCCCGAAGGAATGAGCTCCCGGAGGAGATCAGGGCCCTGCGGGACCTTATGCAGTTCTGCAGGGCCTGCAAGACGGAGCTCTTCCGCCAGGCTTTCACTGCCACCACCACCAATGGTGGCAATACCATCGAGATCGGGAATGGCCCTTGGTAGCCCAGCCATAAACTATGTGGCATTGATAACATGGGACTGGCACGAACGATCTACTGGACAGTGGTACCCCAATGGGGCTGTTGGAAGATACCATCATAACCACTCAAAGACCATCTTGATACTGTAAGCACCTTATTGTTGTTAGTAGTGTTGTTGCTTATGATTTTATTGTTTTATTGGATTTTATGTATGGGCTTTCGCCCCTTGTAAGCCGCCCTGAGCCCGCTCGCGGGGAGGGCGGGGTAAAAATACCTAAATAAATAAATAATGTGCCACACATCCTCGACGCAGCTTTTCAAATGAAGGGACCGTTGCATTGGTTGCCCATGAACAGATGTTTCCAACGATAAGTTCAAAACAAAGCACGGGGAAAAAACACGTTCAGGAGTTGCTGTGTCCATCCAAATGTGTTCGGCCGATGAACTGACCAGCCGCGCACCCCTACGCAGGCTTCCTCGGATGCGGTGGTGGAAGGGTGCCATCAAGTTGTAGCTGACCTAGGGCGACCCCTCGTGGGGTTTCGAGGCAAGAGACGTTCAGAGGTGGTTTGTCATCGCCTGCCTCACCGTAGCGACCTTGGACTGGATTATGTGGTCTCCCATCCAAATACTAACCAGGGCCGACCCTGCTTAGCTTCTGAGAGCTGACGAGGCTAGCCTGGGCCACCCAGGTCAGGGCAGAAGACAGACAGAGGCGGCTGGCCATTGCCTGCCTCTGTGTCGCGACCCTGGACTTCCTCGGAGGTCTCCCGTTCGAGTCCCTTCTGTTTTCTGTTGCCCCAGAAGGTCGGACCAGAACCAATGGGTTGAAGTTAAATCAGAAGAGTCTTTGGCTAAACGTTAGGAAGAACTTCCTGACAGAGCAGTTCCTCAGTTCCAAAGAGTGATGAACACATGGGATTCACTGCCACAGGAGGGGGTGGCGGCTACAAGCATGGACGGCTTCAAAAGGGAATTAGATAAGCATATGGAGCAGAAGTCCATCAGTGGCTATTAGCCACAAGGTATAGATAGGGACTCTCGGTCTGGGGCAAGGGATGCTCTGTATTCTTGGTGCTGGGGGTGGGGTCAACAGTGGGAGGGCTTCTAATGTCCTGGCCCCACCGGTGGACCTCCTGAGGGCACCTGGTATTTTTGGCCATTGTGTGACACAGCGTGTTGGGCCGGATGGGCCATTGGCCTGATCAACATTGGCTTCTCTTGTGTTCTTATGTCTGGGGCAGTGATGCTCTGTCTTCTTG